AGAGGTAACGATAGTATCAGATACATTCTTATTGAACTTTCAGGTTTAGAATATAAGGAAGTGAAGATCAGACTTCAAAGTTCTAGCAAGTTTTTTGTTTCTCTGATTGTTAGATCATTCAGCGCACCATAGCCATGAATAATAGTACAGCCATGCGCATACATGAACACCGTGGAAAAGGCCGGCAGATTGGCTTTCAAACTGTTCCATCCATTTCAATGACTGGTGGGATCGATGTCACATATTCCAGCGGCTAAGAGTGACTTGGTTTCATAGAATGTTGTTAAAAGCAAAAGTCAGTTCAGTTATGCCTTTTTTGTAATTTTTGGCAATAAAATGATTTTATGGTAGTATCGGGTACAAAACTTTTAGAAAATGGAAGAAGCAGTGATAAAAATAGGTTTACGAGCTGATTGTGCTTCTTTGATTTGGAACATTTATTTGGATTTTGAAAAAATGATTCTGAATTCAATGGGTGGTGACAAAGATGAGAAGCAGAAGAAGCACGTGGAATCACTTTATGGACGACTGCTTAGTGTGCCTCATCTAGGTCTACAAGAGTCATGGAATGAATACAAAGCATTTGCGGGTAACTTTTATTAGATTTGTTTTTTCCAAGTTAATCTTTTCATTGCCTAATTCTTTTGAACGTAATTTCAGCTTAACTTCCATCGACTGTTATTAGTAAAACTAACATTTTTATTTATTCCAACGGTTTTATCCAGTTTTTTTTTCTCCAGAAATTATCATTTTGATAAAGACTGATATAATTTGAGTTGCATTTTCTGTTTTTTTTGATTTACTGTATTACGAAATACATAATGCAAGAAGTTTTTTTTCTCTTTTCTTTAATCTCTGGGAACAACGATCAAGAAAACATCATAGGAGATTGCATTTGAAAAGTGGAACTAGTTAATCAAGCTCTCTTAACAGTATCATAAATATTGTTGTTGCTGAAAACAGTTGTTGGAATTTCAGAAGGTAAAGTATCAGACCAGTTTCATAAAACGTTTGAAAGTTCAGCGAAACGTGTGGCAGATATTAGTGAATTTGAACAGCGTCTTGAAAATGCCACGGAAGAGAACGAGAAATTATCTGTTTTAATGGAATACATAGATTTCGAAATGCAAAGTAACTTTCCAAGTCATTTTATGAATAGTTCCTCTTTATTTCTTGTGCCATATTTAAATCATATATTCTAAAGGTTATCTGAAATATGTGTTTGTAAATAAATCGAACATTGTAGCAAACGATCCTGCAAGAATTCAAATGATTTTTGAAAGGACACTTTGTACATTTGCTGCTTCTCCAAGTTCTGATCTCTGGTTACAGTACGGTAATTGGCTGGATTCTTCATTGAAATTGTCACAGGTTAAAAATAGTTCCTTTATTTATGGTTATGCAGTTATTACTTTTCTGTTCTGCCACATGGTAAGTCATTGCTTCCTCTGCTCACCTGCACAAAATAATTTATTCTTACCAACATATTACTTTTATTATTTCATTGCATTCACAAACACTGAATCTAGTACTAACACCTTACAAGATACAAGTGCATGGATTTAAGGTTTCTGTAGACGTATATGCACGTTCTGTACGTCATGCACCATGCTCAGCACTCTGGCAGCAATACTTTTCGGCTCTTGAACGATCAAATGCTTCTCCCGAAGAAATCGATGCCAAATGGCCAGATGCTCGAGATGCAATAACGACACAAGAGGAGGGACTCTCTCTCTATCGTACTTATATATACTTGCTTCGACGACGTGTTGCCAAGCAAGGTATACTTTTCAGGTTGCCATATTTTATTTTCATCTATTTACAGGTATTATACAGAAGATATGCATGCAAGACTTCCACTATCTGTTAGGAAATTTTCTTTTACTAGTTACTAGTAAAACTATCTTTTGCTAGTAAAACTATAGATTCACTAGGATACTTGTGATACTTATGTTAGCAAAGCTGTATAAGAGTCTGTTGAACTTTAGGCCATTCTGTTTAGGTTTTTTTAAAATTTAGTTTCGATTTGATAGCAGTAACGAAACTTTCAAACTCCAAGTGTTCTTCGCTGATTGTTTTTCATAATCATGCGTGAAATGTTCCTTTGTTGTAGGTGGCAATGATTATTTGGCTGTATTAAAGAAATTCGACGAAGGTGCAGCTTTTTTGGCTGAAAAATTTGGATCTCATTGGGATAGTCCAAAAGCTCAATATCGTAAAAACCATGCCCTCTTTCTATATACGTCGGCAAAACAGCCTGAGAAAGGTATTTTTAAATAATCTTTCAGTTTTCATGTCATATTTCATTTTTTGTTCATAATTACACAAACCTTTCACGTTTTATCATGCCACAATTTTGAATTAAATGATTTACTATGGAATGGCAGTGGGTTGATCAATAGATATGGTTTGACTAATAGCAGTTTGAGTCTTTCAAGAAACACAATGAGCCGTGTCAGTTATCAATATCTGAAATCTTGGGGTCACTGCTGTGATTGTAGTTCTGATCCTTTCTAGCTCTGAAAATCTGGAATGATATTCTGGCATCGGGAAATGGTCACTTTGCAGCAGCCTGGATAGAAGCTGCTAATTTAGAACGTTTTTTTGGTGATATCAACAATGCTCGTAAACTGCTCTACAAAGCTGTCAATTCAACAAGCGATCATCCATATACCGTAAATACACTAAGCTGACCACTTTTTCAGGTTCAAAATAGTGGAAGTATAAGGTCAATTCAATAAGCGATCATCCATATACCGTAAATACACTAAGCTGACCACTTTTTCAGGTTCAAAATAGTGGAAGTATAAGGGTGATCCGAAATCTTCCACATTTTACATTTTATTTGAGAAGGTATAATTCAACTTTTACAAAAAATAAAATCTTTTCAGGTTTTTGACGCTCTTATACAGTTTGAAAGAGAGGTAGGTACTATCGAAGATCTGGACAAAGCGCTTCAAAAGGTAAATGCTCAGGCAGCTCGGATTTCACTAAGGCCGCAAAAGAACAAAGTGGAGAAAAACAGTAAAAAGAGGAAGAAAGAAAATGATGAAGATGTTGAAATCAAAAAAAGGAAAGAGGATATGAAGAAAAAAGGACAGATTCTTATAACCAATGAGGACGAGTTTAGAAACGGCACAACGGAAGCTGCGACAAAAATTCAACAGAAGAGCGAGGTATTTTGCGGGAGAATTTTTAAAACAATCTGCGAGTACTCTTAGTTACTTTTTGATGAGGTATGGTGTAGTACCTCATCCAACTTTTCATAATGTTATCAGGCAGCATTGTCTCAAGCACATTTCTTTGTTTTTTGAGGTAAGAATAAAAAGAGGAGTTAAAATCCAAAAAATGGAGTTCTTGTCTAGCTTAAATATAGGGAGCTAACTATGCACAAAACATTTTACGACACTTTCTGCAGTTCAAGTATTTTATTGCAGCTGTATTTTAAATATGAGTTACTTGGTATCAAAGGTTAATTTAAGCTTGAACTGTGATTACCACTTTTGTTTTATTTAAGAGTTTATTTAAAAGCGTTAATATGTTAAATCTGAAAGTCATTTTCATATTTTAATACCTGGTTATAAACAGTAGTTCTTGAGTAATTTGTCATTGGATAGTTTTTAGATGATAAATGTCGATAAAAAGCAAGTGGATGGTGATGGCTTTGTAGTCCCACAACTACCTTCACAGTTGCCAAAGCCCAAAACAATATCAAGTCAAAGTGTCAGTTCAGAAGGGACAAGCAGAGAAGCCTCTTCTGAAAAGCGTCACACCATATTTGTCTCTAATCTCGATTTCAAGTTGCCGACTGAAAGACTGGAGGAAATATTCCCGAATGCGAAAGAAGTTCGACTAGTCTACCGAGGGATGAGCAAATTGCACAAAGTAAGCCATGCGTACTTTCCTTTGTAGGTTCTGTATTGTTTACTTCGCGGTTATTTGTGTTAATCTGGTTGTAAACTTTTTTTTACAACTGAATTAATACAAACAACTGCAAAATAAACACTTTAAATTTAATAATCTAATCTATCTGAAAAATCTGCTTGCTTGGGAGGTAGGTTTTGTTCTGGTCATCCTTGTTTGTTCAACTTTATAAAAACACTAGCTTCTTTTAAAAATAAATTTATTCGTAGTATTAGATGTGATTTGAGGATTCATACGTTGTGTAGTATGTAGTATAATCTAAAAATTATCTACTGGCTTAAGAAATGAATAAGATAAATTCAATAATGAATTCAATAAAAAAGTGTAGTTGCTAATATTTTAGGGATTTGGCTATATAGATTTTTAACTGAACAAGAAGCTCGAGAAGCTCTGAAAATGGATCGAACGCAAATTGATGGAAGGCCGATGTATGTTTCAGAGTATAAACCGCATGATAAAGGGAAGAATACCGAATTTCGTTATAGTACCAGTCTGGAAAGAAACAAGGTTTTTGTTAACAATGTCCATTACGATGCTACCGAGGAGCAGCTTAAGGTTTGTACTCGTTTGATTTTTGTGAGCTATGTTGTTCTTATATTTGTTGTCTAAGATTCTGTTTCTTTTTTGGTATTACAAACATTCGTTAATCGAAATAGTTTCATAGATACGAATTATGTGAAATACCTGATATGTTCCTGGGAAAATGGAGATTTTGATTAGGCATATTTATCATGAAAATAAGAATAGGAAAAATTTGTTAATTTATTTTTATTTTGAGGAGATATTTGCAACATTTGGTGCAGTTCGTGATGTTCGTATTGTGACACATAAATCTGGTAAATCGAAAGGTTGCGCATATGTTGAGTTTGAAAATGATGATGATGCTGCAGTAGCAGTGAAAGCTAGCGAAGACCTTATTCTTTTAGGTTTGTTTTGCTAGTATTTTTTATGTCTGTTTATTTTTGCGTATATATTTCTTTTTTTTTTTATCCCGTATTTTGGGTTCCATCCAGATATTTTATTCTGCTGAGGTCACATTTGAAATGAAGAAAAATGTTCTTTATAGATGTGGGCATCTATTATTACAAAATCATGTGATTTTCACTCTTCGCTTATTAACTAGAAACAGATTTTTCATAACCGCTGAACTGCTGAACTATTTTAATTTAATTATATAGCTTCCTGTTTCATTTTTCTAATATTTCCATTACTGCTATTATTCACTAATTTAATCATTCGGAAGGCAGTTTTTTTTCGTGAAATATAACTTGGAAATTACCGCATTAATGGAGTGGAAGTTTTTATTTAAGAATTGCTCAAGATCTTGCAATCAATATAACTCAAGATTAATTATAAGCGTCCATAACTGATGTATGGAAGAAACAATCAGCAGCTCACAAATTGTAATAAATTCGCTGTTATGCTTCATGCTTCTTAGTTTTATAAAGCATAACATTTATGGCCTTTTTTTCATGGTATTTATCAGATCCTTTGTTTGAGTATTCTAAGTTGAAATTCCCAGCGGCTTGTTTTAAAGTCAGCAGAAATTAAGGACCAAGATTTTGCTGGGTAAAGGTTGTTCGAATCTGAGTGGGTGGTCTGCTTTAATTTTCTATGTAATTTGAGTTTAAGGGACATTGCTTCTCTATGACATTATCTCATTAAAACACCCAATTTGTTTTAAATAATTTTTTAAATTTTAAATTTATGCCACTTTATGTTATGCTATGCTTAACGAAAACACCTGAACTCCTGTAAAATGCATTAAAACATTATACACTAAACATAAGTGTAAAATAATGCTTCCAATGTCATTTTCATTAGTTGGCTGAAAGGATTGGAGACTAAGGTTAAACGGCTCCCTTGAAATATGCTTTTTCAAAAGGAATTTTGATTTTCAGCTTTTTGTCGTTTTTTTTCTTTTTTCTTTTTTTTTTAAAACTGAGAACAGATTATTGCGGAACAGGTCCTTGGGTTCTTAATAGTCCTTTTTCTTTCATCAAAAACAACAGTTTTACCAAGCCAATATCTGTGAAGTCTATGTACTTTGCAGAACGAAAATTATCAGTTGCAATTAGCAATCCACCGAAGCGAAAGGAGCAACTGCAGCGGCTATCGTTTAACACAACCAGTTTTGTAAGTTATCATTTTTGACTTTAAAAAAAAAAAAACCTACAATCATCCTTCACATTTTTTCATAAGCGTTTGCATTTTTCATAGGTGAAGTACCTCGCTATAATTGATTGAAGGACTTATTTCGACGCGAATTTTGACTTGAGTCTAGAAAAAAACACGAGGTTAAAACTGAATTGTAGTGAACCTTGTTCCTTTTAATTAGGCTTAGGTTAGTCAAGCGTTATCGTTAATTTGAGTAGACAGCTCACAAAATTGTTAACTTTCAATAGTGAAGTTGCTTTTTTGACTTCTGATTTAACTGTTTCTTGTGTAGCATTAGACAAGATTTTGCTTGGCGTGAGAGACTGTTGTAGTGAGCATTTGGAGTTATTGAAATCAACTGATCTTCTTTCATAGATAATTTAAATCTTCATAGATAATTTAAAGCTGGAAGAAAATTTCTTACTGATTCTCATAGCATTGGTTTGAAGGTCTTAATACTGATCACTTACAGTCGCATCAACGAAGCAAAATAGATTTAATACCGCGAACACTGGCAAGAACCACAAAACTTGCCAGATCAGCTGGCGATAATAGAAGCAACGAGAACGGTTCAAAAGTGTCAGTTAAAAACATGTCTAATGAACAGTTTCGATCTTTTTTTAAATGATTTAAATTTCTTCACTTCATTACCTTATTGTTGCTTTCTATAATTTTGAAGAATTGCATAATTATGAATATTTGGATTTAGTATTTTGAGATTTCTTTTCGAAAAAACTTGAGCTTCACGACGATTCGAACTGGATAGAAAAAAGTCGCAGTACTCTGATGGTAAAAAGTCGTGATATTTTTTCGTGGGTGGAAGAACTCTGAAATTTTGAGTTCGTTTCAGGTATAAGAACGGAACTGATTTTTTTCGAATTGATAAAAGATCATTTTTTCCTTTGTTCCGAAGGTTGTGATATTTTAGGATCTTGGGGCTCCTGAGTATATAGTAGTAACAAAAAGTATAGTAACAAGTATAGTAACAGTAACAAAACTGAGTATAGTAACAAAACAAAATGGCTTGGATGATTAGTTTGATTCAGGCATTTAGGCTTTTTTTCTAATTTGGTTTCTTAACAGATTTGTCCTTTATTATTGATTAATAATTTATTAAATTCAGTGATGTATTTAATGTCGCCGTAATCGCTTTTCCAATTCGCGCTAGACGTGGATGGACTTCAATGACTAAGCTTACATTTCGCACTTTGTCCACTTTCGGGATGGCAAAACACGTAACACCTCTCAAAATATAAGCTGTAAAATGTCTTAAATTAATGTAAAGATAAAGGGTGTGGGGTTGTGGTCACCAATCGGTAGAATTGTTATGTAAGGCTATCAGATTTTATGACTGTAGGGGACAAACTAACTTGAGTATAAATAAATTAGCCTACTTGCACTCGAATTTAGGCTGCATTCAGTGCTTTGCGGTAGCGAAGTTTGAACTCGACTTTCTTTAGGCTTTATTATTTACACGATAATAGCAGTAATGGTGATATTAAATAGAAAAGTTAGGCAAATCTAGTTGGTAAGCGCAGGTTTCGTTTAAAAAAAAGTATATTTTGACTGCACCAGCTATCACACCATTAATTTGTAAACGTTGCTAACATGTTATATCTCTTCATCGCTGTTGTCTTAGGAAAACCACTGTTGTGTTGTTTCTCATTTCACTATTAGATGAGTAACCAACAAAATAATCCTGAGGGTGAGTTACATATATTTTATGATACAATCTCACGAGATATCATAAATTCTTTTTTTTTTTTAAAATGACCTGCGTTCCCTGATATCTAGATATATCAGTAGAATGAAAGAAAAAAAAATACGACAGGAAGGATAGGAAATATCAAGTAATAATTATAACAGTAGTATGCGGTGTAAAAATTATCACAGATAGCTGTAATAGCAATAAAAATAATTGGAACTGTTAAAAGCTATAGTTACTTTCGCATTAAAGGGTAAATCAATTAACAGTGACTGCAAAATGTTACAAATAAAGTAAAGTGAAAAAGAAAAAAGCACTACTTAATACAGTGAAGTATCGATGATTTCCAAATATTGTATAGTTACATGGAATCAGGCTTTCCGACGTTATAAAATTAAGTGACGACTTCTTCGCGAACAGTATTGTTGTACAACCAAATATGATTTGCAATGATGAATAGATAATCATTTCACACATCGCTGGAAATCGGATTTATTTTATTTTTTATTACCCGTTCCAATTTGCATCTAAACCAATAATTAAAAATCCACTCCTGATATATTTCTATATTCCGTTTAAAAATCTGCATTCGTAATATTCATGATGAAATTGCATTTGGAAAATTGGAAATAAATATTCTTTGACAGAAATTAATGTAGTTATTATTTTCCCAAAAAAGTACAAAACTCGACTAGGAAGAGTTTTGATCAATTTGAATTTACAAACTTGTAATGGAACTTGTCTCGTAAATTAGCTATTGATAAAGAACGTACGAGGTCTCCAGATGATTATCCATAATGAATTTCAGTAACTCTTGCTGTTTAACGGAGTTTGTTGCTTCACCTCCTCTGTTAATTGTTGTCAGGACTGAGGTTGCGGTTGCGGAAGAGAGAGGAGCGGTGGTGGCACCAAATCCAGCACCTTTCTCTTTGCCATTTAATGAAGGAGGTGGTACATCAGGAAGTGGAGGTGGGACAGTTGTCGTTTCTTTCTTTTCGATTTCATCGATATTCTCATCGCTAAGCTGAATCTTCAGTGTTCGAGTATCTTCTGCTACGTCCTCCAGTACTCCTATTGCTACTGCAAAATTACGCAATGAATTCTCTACCGTACAGTGCAATCATTACAAGTTAGAAGATCTCAATGTGATACATTGAGATAAACAGTAATACTTGCCAGCCAATATGAGAAAAGCTGTGAATGACCTTTCTTAAGCAAATATACATAGGGATAAACTCGAGTGATTTTGAATTCTTTATTTGATATAGCCGTAGTGCTTGAGTCCAGTAAAAACAGTTTCTTATAATAGATTTAATGCACCTTGAAAGATCTCTCACCTGTTGAAATGTGCATATCAAGATCACCAATTGGAGTCATTTCCTCTGTAACAGTGGAACCTTCCATATATGATGAAGCGGTACTGAAACCAGATGTTGATGAGCTGAATGATTCCGATGAAGCTACCGTTGATTGTGATTGACGCCGAATATTCTGTAAAAGATTTGAGTTGAAAGAGGAATTTGATCCCGGATCCCGAACAATAAATGTTATTAGAAAGATTGTGGAGGGGTGAGAAATGAAACCTGTTCATTCATTCGATTCGTGATTTTCCTCGATGAACCACCGACAGCTGTTGAAACGTTCCAGGAGAATCGTTTCAAAATCCCGGGTGGTAAGTTTGCCGGCACCTTTGGCTTAGTAATATCAATACCATCTGATGTATGATAACGCCGTTCAAAACGACGTGCATTTGACATCTATAATTATTCAGAAGTAAATATTAATTTCAAAAAATAAAAAGGGATTGAAGATACCCGTTATTTCACGCAGACTATTCCCTAACCAAAACCTTGCAAGAATAGAGTAAGAAAGATTCAAAATTGGGAGTTGTTAGCCTAAAGTATTCAGAGTCCATCTTCCTGTACCATCCAATCAATACTATCCACGCACAGTGGAGGGAGTTGCAAATTAAATTTTGTAGCAGTAAACAAGTAAACAAACGAAATTACAAAAAGGGATAAATGAAAGAGTTACCTGTGAAGATGGTATTCCAACACCTTCATCGTTTGCATAAGTCATAATTACTGAAGGAGAGGAACATCGCACCGTTTCATCTTGCCGTCCAGCAATTCGTTGTTCGGAAAAATCTGGACTGCTATCTAATGTGCCTTGGGAGGCACGCAGGTCACATCCTTCTTGATGTTCCAATGAAGTGGATGGCTTATCGCTAACGTAGATATGTCCCTTATAAAATAAATGAGTCGAAAATCCCGGCTTGGACGAATTACTCGAATACGTCCTGGAAAATTAACCGCTCTACTAATTTGAATATATGTCAAACTCACACAGTCTAAAAAATGCATTAAAAAAAGAACAAAAGAAAGAAAGAATGAATGAATAATATGAAATACTGAATGGAATAATACTTGTCAATAGCAATATCGGTTGGCCCAGAGGAGTTCGAACGTGATCGACGATGCAGATTGGGTGAATCCAAATACTCCACGGATTTTGAAGCGAAGTGTAAATCTGTGGATGACTTTGATTGCCCATTCAACGTTGTACTAACTAATGAAGGTAAGAAACGGTCATCATTGACCACTACAGCTAATTTATGCTGTGATACTAAATTGTTTTTAACACTGCCACAAATCCCATTACCAACATTTTGTCCTTCTCTTAGTAATCGATCAATCTGATCTGCCGATGATATTGTGTTCACTTTTCGCACATCTGAAATGACAGTTGTTAAAGGCAACTCCATTCCCTCCAAAATTTTTTAATCTTGAGAAAGCAAAGATTAATGAGGAAATTCTTTTTTTTTTTCATATCTTTTCCTTGCTTATATGAAAATCAAAACTGAAACAAACATACTAGCAATACGGTTATGTTCAGCGACCATTTGAGAATCCATACTGGAACTTTTCCGATGTATAATCTCTTGATTGATAACCTCTTGAGTACTACCACTATTACTATTCGAACGATTATGATCTGCATCATCGTTCAATCCAAATCCATTAAATAATCCCACCGAAATACCTAACAAGCATTGCTGCGGACTCAGAGGTCTAAAAAAAGACAGGAAGGATACAATGGTCGTAAAAAAGTCAATTACAATTGAACTTTCAGGCACAGCACTTTTTCCTTTTTTCAACTTTTTACAAGGTAAAGTAAAAAGTATATACTTCAGGCGATAGAAGTCTCTTAGCGCCATATTAGTCATTTCGAGCCATTTTCGGGTTTCCTCAATTGATGGAGTCGATAAATAGTATAATGCGGAAGGCATACCGAAATCGTTAATTGGTGCTATTACAAAACCAGCTGTAACATTTGTCAATTTCTTTTCAATATTTTCTCAATTTTCTTCCTTTCTCTATTTTTCTCATTCCCATTCAATTTCATTTTTCCCGACCTTCTCATCCAATAATGACACCGCAAAGAAGATTGGAATTTTTGAGGCAAATATTACAACCTGTTTAGTTGGATAATAGATACGATCGAACGTTTATCAACAATTTAAGTGACCTATTAGGGTCAAAGGTTGCACGATGAAAATTAGTAATATATTAAGTCATAACTGAACAGCTCTTAGAAAATTTCCAAAATTTCCCGAAAATTTTTCCCGGACTCTGGTATCGGGGAACTGTTTTGAAGAAATTCCAACAACAATTATTTAAATTTCTATGCAAAAATGAGAGAAATAGGAATAAAGTAGGAAAAAATATTCAAATATGAAAACAAATTTAAAAGCAGAACTTACAGTAATCGGGAAATCGCTGAAGGCACATTTTAGCGATATGTATTGGTGGCTTAAGTATTCTTAATCGATCGTAACGCTTGTTAGAAGCTTTACATATGAGGAAGAGATCGGTGAATAGTATGCAATGTGCATCTACCTGAAATGAAAAATACATGCAAAATTTGTCACATAGAAAAGAAAGAAATTTTTAAATTTAACAAACCTTTGTTCCCTGTTTGCCATCTTTCATCTTTAAATCAGCACGCAAATAAACACGACGAAACTGTGGCTGTCCCACAAAATATGGCATTGGATCAGCCAAACGAATGTAGCATTTGATCGGGAATATCTGGAATTTAATTTCACTTAGACAATTTGATCGACCAAAATTAGCGTAAATATTATGAAAAATGTTAAACAAAAAAATAAATAAATAATTGGAAGGAAGAAATGTTTTGACAAAAATACTTCAAATTATAAAGCAAATAATTTTTAACTTTATCAATTTTCAATTTTAATAAGAACTGTATCGTGCGAATCTTTATTTCCTTAAGTAATTATATTTGAATACGAAATCACAGTACAGAAATGTAAAAAAGTCAAATTATAAGAAGGAAGAAATAAAAGTAATTCTATGCGTTATCATCTAAGTAAAAGGCACGTTAAGTAAAACACTTACCTTTTCAAACTCTTCACAGTCAACAGCTTCATAACTTTCAATCGCTCTCGATAATTCATTAAGCTTATTCTGTAAGTCATTGTTATTTAATGTTTCTTCAACATTTCGAGTGGCTTTTTCAATTCGTAATATCATATCCTGGAAATTGATGTTTTTAATGGTAACATTATATTACAGTAGTATTGGATCTAGTATCTTAACCAAGTTTGCTTATAAGATTGACTTCAGAGCATCTTTATATCTAGAAAAGACAAGGAATAATAGAAGCAATTTATCATTCATTCCTTAATGATAGCTAAATAAACTGTTAGATGGAAATTTGAGAGAAAAATTGATGAAAACAGATAAGACCAGAAATTAGGAGTTGGCTACGTAAATAATTAATGATAATACCATTATTTAAATAGTCAAGCACTTAAAATGAATAGATACATTACCTGAATAGTGTCCCGTTCGATATCATCAACAGTATGCTTAAGAACAGCTTTGAGAAGTAAACTATATCTTGTAAGACGTTGCATCGGATTTGTCAAAGCGTCCAATAAACGTTGTCGTCTCATCGTATCTTGCGATTCTGCCCACTAAAGTTCAAAGAGTAATTACGAATTATGGGACAGAATTCAAAGAATATTGCAGAACATGTTTATCATGCAGTTTTTGACAGAATTTAAATTATTCTTAAAAGTTAAAAGTTCTTAGAATGCTAAAGAAATTTGACTGCGAATAAATCTGAAGTATGTTGTAAATTAGTCGTAATTTTTTTGATTTCAGTAATATAAATGTAAGATTGAAGGATCCAGAAAAGATGTACTCAATGTTTAATCATATGTATAGTGCCGAAGTTATTCCTGTTCAAATGGAACATCTATTTTAAACTGAAATGATAATGGTCAAATAATGCACCGTAACGAATTCGCGAAACAGTTCATTTTCTTTCTGGCATTTCTGTACATAGCTATGACAATCAGCATGTCCATATATGAAAGTTGTATAACAAGGCCACCACTCATCAATTCGTTCAAAACCGGATTTCAGGATTGCTGGGTCTAAAGGAGTGCCGTTATTTCTGAAAAAAAAAAGAGTGATGCTTATAATGTCATTCATATTTACTATACCTATGAAAAAAATGAAATCTTTTAAAAAAATTCCTTAACAAGTAGCAGAAGAGAAAATTTAGGGCTATCAAAAATTTCCGGCAGTCATTTTCCGACATGCGTTATTGTGAACCTTTGAAAGTTATTTAATAAAACCTCGAAGTTTGCAGCATTTGTAGCACCGCCTTTTTCCAAAATTTCGAATTATGAACATAGAGTTCGGGGTAATTAAGAAAGACCCGACGTGGGTCAACATCACGCATATAGCCAACTTCTTGCATTTTCAGGAAGCACTGGCAAAGTTCATTCATTTGTTTTAGAAGCTAAAAATAATTATTAAGTTTAAGTTCAAATTTCGGCAAAATTAGAAATTCTTTTGAATAAAAAAAATTTTGTAATTTAACAAATAATTAAAATTTCTTTTTTTAAAGAAAAAGATAATGTTTCGCATTTTTCATTTTTATGTAATAATCCATCGGTGCGGAAATCCACTGTAGTTTATCTTTGAAGCAGTTTGAAATTTAATTTTATTTCCATCAGCTTTTGAGTCTATGGTTATTCATGTAAAGAAATCAAATTTTTCTATTGTTTGCTAAATTAAATATCGAAAATCGTTTAGTTTAATTTTTGTCTCTTTTTTTTATCGCACAAAACTATCCTACGAAATTTTCGTAACTAATTTTTTACGAAACGTTCAAAGAACTTTTTTTTTCTTCTAGAAAAAGAGATTGATATCAAAAAGATAATTTGCCTGCAAATATCGATGTTCGGTTGTGACGAACTCCCAAATAGCTTCCTGCTGTTCATATGCATGCTTGCTTAACTCTTCCTGTAATTTTCGATGGCTTGAATGTAACATTTATGAACTTTGTTTGTACTTAATGATAAATCCTGTGAGAGACTTGAAATGCCAATTGACAAAGTATTCCGTTTGATTGACCGATCGAGTTTCGAGAACTTCTTAGCAGTAATTTCTCAATTTGTTTAGAGATTTCAAAAAGTTAGCTACAACAATTTCAAGCTGATATGTATCATTCTTAAACTGTGATAAAGACGGATCAAGTTCGACTTACACTATCACGAACAATATTGGTCCAGTGAGGTTCAAGTTCGAACATTGGTACTGGTTTCTGCATCTCATCTTTCATCAACGTCAAACGTGAAAGCATTTCGGCCTTGTCCTAAAATAACTTTCAATTTTCCAAATATACACTTCAAATCCTTATTCAAAATCTGAAAAGTTACTTCAAAATTTAATTTTAGAGTTGACAAAACTATACCTAACCTTGCCAAAAAATAAACTTCTCCTACTGGTAGCAGCTATGTTGCGCAAACGTCTAGTTCCACTAATACCACTATCGTCTTGCAGAGCAGTCGCGGATAAATCTTCAGAGCATGACGGTTCATCTAACGCTATGCTGAAAATAACAATTACTGATAAGGATAAATTAAGATTGAAATATGGAAACAACAAAGGCGCAAATTGCATTTCGAACTTTTAATTTTTTTTAATGTAACTTCTGCTGGGAAAAAAATGTTTGAAAAGCGTACTCACACACTCAATCAAATGCCAAGCAAAGTTGTAAGCATACATCAATAAAATAAAGCCTTGACATTCACTTTCCTTTCCAAATATATACAAAATACAAAACTTGTCTTTGCCAGCAATTTACGATGCAAACTAATGTAACCGATGAAATAATCCTAAGTGGTGATCAAAGGTTATAAAGTTTTAGCTCTCAATTTTCCAATTACAATCGGATCAAGAATGTGGTTCATATGGAATGGATTAATCCCCATGATGTCAAGGGAAATAAGTCACTCTAATTATTCCAAAATCGGTCTCATTCCAATAATTCCTCTCATTTCCTTCCTCTCTCTCACTCATTTCAGAGCACAGTAAGAAAAGATACTATCAAAAATGTTGAAATTCTTGAAGATAATTCAGCAGAAAAAAGAAAATGTCGAATATCCATTAGGTCATCATCATTTAGACAAATGCTTAAAACAGCTTAAAATGCTAAGCTTAACGCAATGACATTCCATTTGAACGTCCTTAATCTATCCCACACGATGTGACCTTGGAGTAAATGGTTGTAAAATCTGAAAATTGTTGTCTTTACAACAAATTGCTGCCAAGTTCGTATGGATATTGAGATTGAAATGGTAAAAGAGGGAGGAGAGAAGGAATGGCACTGCAATAAGGAATTAAAGTTTCAGTTTCGTAAACTTCCAATAACTCCTGTCACTTTTAGCCTTAACAAATAGCGAACGCTAACAGTCCACCTCAATTGAAATCGCATTGCATCATTTGAGGGAGAAAAAACGAAATGATCAATTCAAAGGGAAGGAAAAGAACGAATGATAAATAATTTATTTGCATATAAAATTTCTCTCAGACATTTGCAAAACGATTTATGGACTTTACGGTGGATCCAATCGATGTAAAGTATCGTTCAACAGTTGGTAATCGTGTCTCGCCAACATTTACCGATTTCAAACAAATCAATTTACTTTATTGTTTTGATAGGTATTTTAATTCATCATCAGAATTTCTATCTAATCGCTAGTAATATCTATTTCCTTACTTTGATATTTATTTATTTGATTGATTGACAAGGAAACAGGTACAATGTGTTACGGTCAGTTATAAGTTCATTGACTCGAAAATACAAAGTACACAGGTATGTAATGGACTGACCTTTAGACTATCCAGTAACATTTTATCATTCTTTCTTGCAAATCAAATAATTCATA